AAAAAACGCATACTTCTACAACAATTTTGAATATGAAGGAACTTTAAGGCATTCACATGTCATTCACTGGCACTGCGAGCAGGTGTTTTGATTGTAGCATGCATAATCCAGGTTTCTTAGAAGGAGCTTCGCATATTAGTTTCATTTTTGTACCGTAGTGTTTTGTGAAACGAACTGTTAGAAGTCCGGTGTGTGTGTGTGTGTGTTTTTTTTTGACTTAGATTGGCAGAAAAAATAAAGTAATGAATTTTGGGCTTTCCATCGCATATGCATTGTTATTTTGTAACTTAGGGTCTGGATTTTGAAATCTGATTCCCAAAAAGATATCAGAAAATGAACCGGTTTCAAAGCTCAAATATGTTGTCTACGGTGCACAATTGCAAAGGATCAGATTCGAGTTCCAGAAATTTGCGGTATTCAAAAATGCAATCTTCAGTTCTCTGTTTTGTTACTGAAACCCAAATATTCGATTACATAGCGTTTATCAAATAAACAGCGACGCACACCAGTGTAAAACAGCTCTAAAATTCGTAAAAAAGAAATTCAAAAAGTATTCCCTATTTCTTACAGAAATTTAAAATCCAAAACAATAAATTATTATCTGCCAGATAATGGTAGCGCGCAATATGAAAACAGATATATTGCTTGTCAAACAAGGATATAATCAAGTGATTATCTGCAGCTACGTTTGCATTTTGACAATTAGTTCCTCTTCTCTTTTCAAACTATAGTGGGTATCACAGTATCAAGATGGGTACTATGATATCCACTATAGTTCGAAGCTTTCAAATGTGTTAGGAACTACCGTGCGAGAGAATTGCAGCACGACCTAGGCGTAATCAATACACTCCGGCAAAAACGTCTGGCCTGAGACTGTTTAGCTTCTCCCCAAGGGACACGTACAAAAAGGCAGGAGGACCCTGACTGGGGAATTTGTATCCTGGCTTTTATCAACGTCCGGACTTTTTCAACTCTACAGTTGCACCTTCATCATCTTCAGTTTCTTCAGCGACGCCAATAACTTCGACTCGGCTTAACTTCAGTTAGTCGCCGAATGTATTTAGCAACTCGTCGGCAGCGTCAGCTCAGTCGAGAATCGCTCAAGTCGTCAAGGATCGTGAGCATCGTCCGTTTCCTCAAGATTTTCAGCCACCTTTAGGTCCTGTTCGATTTACAGGCGTTTCTCTCGTTCCTTTTTGGTAACGTTTCCACTGTGAACGCATGCAGTTACTGCGTTGCCGCTAAAGAATTATTAGTAGATGAGCTCTTAGTAGCAGTTCAATCACAGCTGATTTTCAGTCTCTGGCCATTCTTGGTTCTACTCGTGTGTTAGTCTTGGCTGCGCTGGCATTTCATACCTCGCCAAGAAGGTATTGCTCAACTACATGCCATACACTTCTATTTGGTCATTACCGAAGTGTATCTTGTTTTCTAACAACTTATCGATACGCATCACTCTTCCCCATGTGTTTATTGATTTTACTCGAGGTAGCTGGTGCGGGCATTCGTTTTGCAAGAGATTAATAAAAGCTGATTTGAAATTTTTGGAGCATACTTGCACAAGAAATATCCTCGTAAAATTTTTGTTTTTTGCTTTACCCAGTCCCTTTGTTAGAAAGGAGTCAATAGTCTTCAATCTGAACTTGGATGTATCCGTGCACGAGGCCCAGACGTAAGCAAAAGCAGAATTTAAGCTTCCAGGGTCGCACATAAACAGAGAAAATTCTTCTAAAGTTTCAACTTTCCATATTGGACGATTTCCAATTCTCCGCCTGAACTTTCACGTTCGCACGCGAGGCCCAAACAAGTATGGAAGCTGAATCCAAATTTTTTCAAGGTTTCACTTATTTAATGGCATGTGGGCCAATAATATCCAAAGCACAGCTAAACACATCTACCGGGCGGCACCGCTGCCTACTGAGGTATTTTAAGACATCAAAGTTATGCAGATATTGTTCCCTGAAATTGGCGAGTACTGCCTGCCGCTCGACCAAGCCGCGGCCATCCGCCCAGTTGAATTCAGGCATAGCGACAGTGTGGTGTAACAGAAACCCTGTGCTCATGAAGAATGTGCGAAATCGTTCAGCTTCCTCCGTTTCTGAATGCTGCTGGTGCTGCAATTTGTATATTTCGGTTTACTAAGCGCAAAAAAAACGTATAAAATGAATTCCAATAGGAGGTGGCTGCTTCATGTGGCATTTTTGTGCGGTTTTCTGCTTTGATCTTTGTATTTCTTGGTAAAATTTACTCACTCTCCTATTCGTTGCTGCTTTCTGATGAATCTGCCAAAGCTTCCACATCGTATCCATCAAGTCAGGTTGATCAGCAGCTGCCGGAAACGTTGCAAGAAACGGTTCAGGTTTGAGTGCTAAAAATGACATTGCTAAACTTGCTTATTGTGCTCAATTCGTTCATAAGCTTTCTGCTAGATGGTTTTGCTTGATTCAATTCCTGCAATTTTTTTTTCCACTCATTTCTTTACTAT